TAGGTCATGGTGACGTACTTTTTGAATTTTGCATGCATTCATTTTCAAATTGATTTAAAGGCATATTTTGGACAGTTTAAGGCCTATGATCATCAAACTTTGTCATTTGATGCATCTTGGGTCCTCAAAATATGTCAACTGAAAATAGGTAACCTTGACCTACTTTTTGAATTTTATGGCTAATCTTTTTGAAAACATTAAAGGTCATTATTTCAGATAATGAGAGGTTTAGAATCACCAAACCTTGGAAGTTGATACATCTTGGGGTCTTAAAACAGATTTATCAAAAAGTAGGTCACATTGACCTACTTTTTAAATTTTGCAGGCATTCATTTTTAAATTGTTTTAGAGGCATATTTAGAACACTTTAAGGCCTTTGATAATCAAACTTTGTCCTTTGATGCTTCTAGGGTCCTCTGAGGACATCAACTGAATATTAGGTTACCATGACCTACTTTTGAAATATTATGGCTATGTTTAAATATTTCTGGTACTAATTGGCCTAGAATCCTCAAACTGTCAGTTGATGCATCTTGGGTCCTCAGAGAACTTCAACTGAAAAGTAGGTCACTGTGTCCTACATGTACTTTTAATAATTTATGACTATATTTAAATATTTCTGGTATTGTCTTTAGAATAATCAAACTTTGTCAGTTGATGCATCTTCGGTCCTTGGAGAAAATCTGAAAAGTAAGTCACCATGACCTACTTTTGAAATTTTATGGCTATATTTAAATAATTCTGGTACTAATTGACTTAGAATCACCAAACTTTGTCAATTGATGCATCTTGGGTCCTCAGAGAATGTTGACCTAAAAGTAGGTCACTGTGACCTTTTTTGAAATTTTATGGCTTTTTAAAAATATTTCAGGTATTAATTGTCTCGGAATCATCAAACTTTGTCAGTTGATGCATCTTGGGTCCTCGGAAAAAGTCATGTGAAAAGCAGATCACTGTGACCTACTTTTGATTTTTTATGGCTATATTTAAATATTCTGGTACTAATTGACTTAGAATCATCAAACTTTGTCAGTTGATGCATCTTGGGTCTTCGGAGAATGTCGACTTAAAAGTAGGTCAACCTGACCTACTTTTGATATTTTATGGCTTTTTAAAAATATTTTAGATACTAATTGGCTAAGAATAATCAAACTTTGTCAGTTGATGCATTTTGGGTCATTGGAGAGCTTCAAGTTAAAAGTTGGTCACCATGACCTACTTTTGAAAATTATTGGCTATATTTAAATATTTCTGGTACTTACTGTCTTAGAATCATCAAACTTTGTCAGTTGATGCATCTTCTTTCGTTGGAGAATGCCAACTGAAAAGTAGGTCATCAATGTTTTGAGATTCTAATAGAATAAGATTCTTCAAACTTTGTCTGTTGATGCATCTTGGTTCGTCAGAGTGTGTCAACTCAAAAGTAGGTCACTATGACCTTGTTTTGAATTTTTATGGCTTTATTTAAAAATTTGAGGTAGTAATTGGCTTTGAATCATCAAATTTTGTCAGTTGATGTATTTTGAATCCTCAGAATATGTCAACTTGAAAGTAGGTCATAGTGATCTACTTTTGGAATTTCCAGGCAATATCTAAATATTTTAAAATATAAGCAAATTTAAAATCATTAAATTTTTTAGCTCTTCTGAGCCAAAGGCTCAAAGAGCTAATGCTATGACCATTTGTGCGATGTGCGTAAACTTTTTAGAATATGGGCCAAAACTCAAGAACCCCTTGGCCAATTATTGTCAAATTTGTCACAGGGTATCCTTGGCTCAAGGGCTCCCGTTTATACTAAAACTAGGGTTGTGACCCTTAAACAAGGGGGAGATAATTAGGTAAATAAAACCAAAAGTACTGGTTGCTAAAAAATCTTCTGAAGAACAACAGGGCAGATTATCACTAAACTTACACAAAAGGATGAGGATGTTGTAGATGAAAATTTGCTTTGCTTGGCGATTTACCTTGAGGCAAAGGGCGTGGTCTCAAGGTCACTTCAAAGTTGACCAAAAATTACATTTTATTAAAATGTTGACATTCTTTTTTAAAATGATTTAGAGGCATATTTTGAACAACATAAGGCCTATGATCATCAGAATTTGTCAGTTGATGTATCTTTTGTCCTCAGAGTATGTCAACTAAAAAGTAGGTCACCTTGACCTACTTTTTGAATTTTATGGCTAATCTTTTTCAAAACAATTAAGGTCATTAATTTGAATACTAAGAAGTTGTGACCTATTTTTGAAAATTTATGGCTTTTATTAAATATTTCAGGTACTAATTGGCTTAGAATCATCAAACTTTGTCAGTTGATGCATCTTGGGTCCTTGGAGTACGACAACTGAAAAGTAGGTCACTATGACCTACATTTGAAATTAAATGGCTGTATTTAATATTTTTGGGTACTATTTGGCTATTTAGAATCATCAAAAGAGCCATAGCTGCCTCTCCGACGACACGGCCGACTAAAGAATTTAAAAGGAAATCACCTGTTTCTATTTATAGATATACCTTTTCAATTCAAGATCAAACTATGTAATATGGTTTGAGGACGAGTATTATATTTTCTTGGTTGCAAGTATGTCAAATGACATTCATTTAATTGGTTCAATACTCTAATTCTGAGACAAAAGATTTAGAAAATCAATAAAAATAAAACAAGCAGCTATGAATTTACAAACTTTGGAGCTATATATGGCGTATCTGAGCTAAAAAAATAAAAAATTAAAATACGAGATTGAGTGAAGATAAACGTGATATATGTTTTTTTCGTTCAAATAAAAATTTTCACCGATTTTGAACTTGAATAACCTAATGTTTCCATAGTTAAATTGATTTTAAACTGTGTCTGTTAATTAAATGCGGAGTCGTTAAATAAATCGGATATTGTATTAAATTTCTAATACCTGTGAAACGTGATTGATTTTAATTGTGTAATATACAGGAAAGTCCTATCTTTATATAAAGTAATAAAACAAATAGAAAGATCTTTTTAATTTTAGTTAAATACGCCATATATGACTTTAATAAAATAGTTTAGGACTGTCTTTTCCCGAGATACTTTCAAAGTGTAGTGTGTATATTATAACTTCCTGAAATTATGCATATTATAAAACGTAATAAAGAAAAACGTAGAAAAGATATACAAAGAAAAAAAAATTTTAAAAAGCATAAATAGAAAAATGTGGGGCTCGAACTCGCAATCACCATATTTACATTCCAGCAATCATACCACTGCGCCAACGAAGTCAATGACGTCGAATGGATAAATTTAAGACAGATTGCTAAATCTTATGATTATATGAGAAGAAAATTTGAATATATATTTTCATCATTTTCAATATGAAGACCACCTTTAACCAAAATTATCTAAATGTAATGAAGTGCAGTCATATCCAAATAAAATTATTCAAAAGTTGTTTTTCTGGTTAAGGGTGGTCTTTGGCAACAGTTTGTCATCTTTAGGTGGATACCTCAATATTTACTATACACTCCATACAAACTGGATAACTTTTATATTCATCATATGAAGGAACTATCAATATTGAAATATCATTATTGTGTGGTTTGGTTTTACGTATGTATAAACTAATATTATATGACAAAATTTTGGATAAACAATGAATTTAAGAAATCACTAGTAGAGTAGGCGAAAATGCCTATCAAATGTGCTATGGCTCTTTGTCAGTTGATGCATCTTGGGTCCTCAGAGTAGGTCAATTGAAAAGTAGGTCACTGTGACCTACTTTTCAATTTACATGACTATAGTTAAATATTTTGAGTACTAGTTGGCTTAGAATCATCAAACTTTATCAGTTGATGCATCTTGGGTCTTCAGAGTAAGTCGACTGAAAAGTAGGTCACCATGATGTACTTTTGAAAATTTATGGCTTTAATTAAATATTTCAGGAAGTAATTGGCTTAGAATCATTAAACTTTGTCAGTTGATGCATCTTTGGTCTGCAAAGTTAGTCGACTGAAAAGGAGGTCACTGTGACCTATTTTTGAAATTTTATGGCTTTATTTAAATATACATGTATCAGGTACTTATTGGCTTAGAATCATCAAACTTTGTCATTTGATGCATCTTGGGTCCTCAATGTCATCTGAAAAGTAGGTTACTGTGGCCTACTTTTGAAATTTTATGGTTATAATTTTAAAAATATTTTAGGTATTAATTGGCTTAGAATCATTAAACTTAGTTGATGCATCTTGGGTCCTCAGAGAATGACAAGTGAGAAGTAGGTCACCATGACCAACTCTCAGGTATTAATTGGCTTAGAATCATCTTGGGTTCTCAGAGTGTTTCATCTAAAATGTAGGTCATGATGACCTACCTTTGGAATTTCAATGCTTTATCTAAATATACAGGATACTTGGAGGCTTCAAATAGAAGTGATAGGTTGTACAGTTTATCAGAAGAGCGATTCAAGGCCCTTGGGCCTCTTGTTTCAGTTGATGCATTTCGGGGTCTTGGAGTGTCTTTTTCAAAAAGTAGGTCACTTTGTCCTACTTTTTGAATCTCAAGGCTCTATCTCAATATTTAAGATAGTAAGAGGCTTAGAATCATCAAACTTTGTTAGTTGATGCATCTTGGGTTCTCAGGGTGTTTTAACCAAAATATAGGTCATAATGACCTATTTTTTGAATTCAAGGCATTATCTTAATATAAGAATACTTTGAGGCTTTAAATAGAAGTGATAGGTTGTACAATCTATCAGAAGAGCAATTCAAGGCCCTTGGGCCTCTTGTTTCTCTACTTCTTGTTGTGAAACAATTTTTCCCAATTCACCAAAATGATGCTGATTAAATTTTGAAATGTGAAATGGGCTTAGGCCCATGAATTCAAAGGGTTAAAAAATCAGTTTCAATGAAAATGATTGGGTTCAAACTTAAATTGGAATGGCTTATATTATAATAAATAATACTGACACAATAATTTATGGTAGGTGCATGCACAACCTTTGGTAGTAATCTAAGATGTGTACAATGTTTTACAGACCCAAGTGAACTATGCAGTATAACCAGAGCCATATTGCTAGTAAATGCTGATTGTGCTACAGCTTGGAACACTAGGTATTTTACATAATACTAGCTATGATTTAAGTATTCACATTCTCAAGTCATAGACAGTAATATTTCAGATGGTGAAAAGTTTTTATGTTATCAGTAATATTCTGACAAAAGATCTGACATCATATGTGAAATAATGCATGTTTAATTGGGATGTACAGTCAAACCTGTTTTAAGAGGCCACCTTTGGGAAGTTTGGAAACTGGCCACTTAAGACAAGTGGCCTCTTATTCCAGTTTCCCTTGAAATAGACAGTCAGTCAGTAAATGAACAACATTTAACACTACAGTTAAATTAATTAATAATGATATAATCAGAGATTAAGGACAGACGATACGTTCCTCAATAATATATAATTTTTTCCAAGATTTTGTCATTGAAGTATTGCTACTTTAACATGTTTACTCACAAAAAATTGAGGTACCTTACCAGGCATTTATGCAAGATACCAGAGGATAGTTTTTCTTATATAATCCTTTGAAAAAAAAAATTAATTTGGGAATACCAAATTTTTTAGTGTTTGGATTTTTTAAAGACGATTAGAAACTGGTTTAGAAATCAGAAGGTAATGAAATTTTTGCATATTTTTCATATATTACGAAGATATACATAACAGATATTTGAGGAACGTATCGTCTGACCTTAAATCAAATCAATTTCACAAATGCTTTTCATGTGTATATGTATTAATTCATGTACATTTAAAAAATCTTAAAGAATCTTAAACATCTTAAAGAATTACAAAAATGTTTTTGTTTACGTTCATATATGTCAGTTAAAAGTCACATACATTCATCAGTGTGCTGTTGTTACATTGAAATTAATTGTCATTTGAAAAAATATATGTGCCTTACATAAATTTTTTAATTATTTTTACCCCACCCTCCAACACACACACACACAAAAATGGTAGGATTATAAAAAAAGTGTAGAAAAATTTTTCAATAAGAATTTGTCAATAAATTCCCCTTAAAAATTATCTTTCATAAGTTCAAGCAATGATCAGCAGTGTATTCATCAAACCCACCCCCACTCAATACACTTGTTTAATAGACAGTTAGCTTACTTGCTGAAGTTATTAAAGTCTGGTAAATTTTAATTTTTGTATAAAGCTGTCAGAATTTCTCTGTTGTACACAGACACATAAATAAAGTAGATCAGTTGACCAGAAAAGTGTATTGTACAAGGGCTGTTCGGAAATTATTTAGACATTGTGTATATTCTTCTTTCTAATGAACGTTTTTCGGTGAAAATTTGCATATACGTTTGACAAACACTAAGAATTAATAAAAGCAAGAAATATTTCAAAAATATTTTATTTCTTTTTTCAATGGTATATTAATGTGTCAGTGGTAGGGGTACCCGGTGCAGTCACAAAATCAGATATTGAAAATATGTAACACCAACGTAAAATCTCCCAGTGGACCCATAGTAAGAGCGAAAAAAAAATCAAAATATGTATATAATATTTAAATTTAATTTTGACTTCATTTTGTGCTAGTTTGTTAGAATTTCGATCAGAAATACGGAGATCATTAAAAAAATTAAGCGCGGTATAGCAATCTGGTAACGACGACAAAATGGATTTTGACGTCAAAGCAGAGCAGCGAGCATACCTAAAATTTTGTGTAGCAGTATTGAGAACTCTTGTCCAGACTAACCGACCTACTGAAACAATAACAATGCAATAAAACATTCTAAGGGTTTATTTTTTCATTGGTATATTTTTTTCTTACAAATAATTCAACCAGAGTAAAAACAAAAGCTCTGGACGACCATCAATTATTACGGAATAAATACCGTTGACCTGCATTGCATAACTTGGTAATGCATGATACTAAGTCAACCTGTATATGACACCGTGTATATTTTACACTGGAGAAGCAACGGCACACATTTTATTTTAATTTTTTTCATAGAATCATTTAAGAATTATCAGAGACAGTTTGAATTTAGGAATGTTATATGTAATGACAGAGAAAGTAGATTGAACGCTTCCTGATCATTTCACAATGAGAAAATATCGGCTGACGTGACGTTAAAATGACGTAGTGATGCTGCTCCAGGTCAATAGACATATGCTTGTTTATAATTTCACCAGGACTTGTCTAATTATCCTATAAATTAGAAATTTTGCACATTTATTTTATTCGTTCTTTATAAAATGTTGACGAATTTTCATGAATTTATCTCTGTCCTTTGTGGAGTAAAAGAATTTGTCTCAATAATTTTCGAACAGCCCTTGTATTAAGCAGTTTGAAATCATTTCAGAGCATGTTCAATAGAGCGTAACTAATCTCTATAAATCGTCTCCTGATAGTGAAATGCACGAGATAATCACGTTGTTTTCACCAGAGTAGCATTTAGGGAATCAAAATTTAAAAGGTGTGAAAATATTGTAGCTTTGTATTAGGTAATATATGTATCACAGTGAACATTCTTATTAATGGTGAATGAATATCCTAAAGTACAAAATCTAACTTTAAGAATTAATTTCTTAAGCAATGGGAAAATTATTTATTGTAATTAAATTCTTTTCATTTTTCAATCATCAGTCTTGAAAAATCATTACCTGTAATTTAAAAAAAAAATGACCAAATGTTCTAACAGGAGAATATAATTTTTTCATTAACACAAACAGAGTTCAGCATATCTAATTTGTTTAATTGCTTTAATAGGTTACGGTTGACCAATGAGCATATAATTATCCAAGCAAATGTGTTTAAAAGATGGGATAGAATCGCGACAGTGGACGAAATGGCCGCCTATTACAGTGTAAATTAGGTTGTGGGTGAGGATTTCAGTGGCTGCTGGCCGAGTTACACAGGTGGCCGTTTATTCCTGTTAAAATGTATAGGAAAATTGTCGGGGGGAACTGAAAGTGGCCACTGACCGCGAGTGGCCATTAATTTCAAGTGGCCACTAAGACAGTTTTGACTGTATATGCAGGGTTTATGAGATACCAAGATTCTATTAAATTCTCTTCAAGTAAAATTGCTTTGCACTAGCCACTGTTGTTTTGTGTTCAAAGAGGATTTGGAGTTTTAGAATTTTACACCTGAACTCACAAAACATTTAATTTTTCCCCACTTGTTACTAGAGCAGAGCATAGGGTGGCTCTCCGCATTTGCTATTACATTAAAACAAACAATTGTTACATGCCAAAATGCACTGCTTACCTATATACATCTTTGATGTTTATGTTAAAGGAAAGAGCTGGTAGATAATGCAGACCTTTCTGTCACAGAGGATCTAAAGTTTGGAGCTCTAATTCTGAAGAAACATCCAAAGAGCCCAGAAACATTTTCTCACAGGTAAACTAAAATTTGCAGCACTTTTGTGAACTTTTTGGCTCACCTGAGCTGAAGACTCAAGTGAGCTTTTCTGATCAAAGAGTGTCCGGCATCTGTCTGTAGGCCATAAACCTTTCACATTTTCGACTTCTCAAGAACCACTGGGCCAATTTCAACCAAACTTGCCACAAAGCATCCTTTGGTGAAGTGGATTTAAATTTGTTCACAGGAAGTGCTGCATCCTCTTTAAAAGGGAGATAATTAAGAATTGGTGAAAATTTGGTGGCATCATTTAAAATCTTCTCAAGAACCACTGGGCAAGAAAAGATAAAACTTATGTGAAAGCTTCATTGCATACTCTAGATTCAAGTTTGTTCCTATCATGACCTCCGGGGGTAGGTCGGGGCTGCAAGAGGAGGTCTAAGTTTTACACAGGAATATATAGGAAATGTCTTTAAAAATCTTCTCTAGAACAGCAAAGCCATGATTAGTCATAACAGAAGTATACTCAGGTAGTGTAGATTCAATTTTGTTCAAATCATGACCTCTGGGGGAAGGGCAGGGCCGCAAAAGGGGGTCAAAGTTTACCATAGGAATATTTAGGAAATATCTTTTAAAATCTTCTCAAGAACTGCTAAGCCATTATTAGTCATATTAAAACAGATGTATTCTTATGTAGTGTAGATTCAAGTTTGTTCAAATCATGACCCTGAGGGGTAGGGCAGGGCCACAACAGAGAGTCAAAGTTTCACATAGGAATTTATAGGGCCATTTGAGTAAAACACATTGAAGACCTCAAATAATGGAATGACCTGACAACTCTTGGATTGGACTAGCTAAATGAAAGGGTATATAAGGCAAAGCTTTGGGAAAGTCAGGCATTCAGAAGCTAGCTAAAGAAGTTGGATGTTGAATCAGTGATGAAGTTAAAGTAGATTTGATCTATACTCGCACTACGTCACTAACAAATAGTAAAACCAGAACCACTCTTCCTTTTCCTGAGATGTGATTTTTTAACTACATTGGTTTGACTTTTACTAGGCGTTTTAAATATCCGGTGATGATTTTGCTATAAGTCGGTCTCGTCAACAAAAGTGTAACTTGAATTTAAGTAAAGAGAAAAGAATGGAAATAACTTGAGGTTGACAGAGACATGAAAAGGTAATAAAGATATAACATAAACGACATTTCTGTGCATGAGAATATGCCAATAACGTGGACCACGAGTAAGCTATTGAGGCCGATGCGAGACAGACAGTCAAAGACTATATTGTTGAAGGGCAAGGTGAAGTTAAGACTGATAGCTCGCAAGAGAAGGAATTGGCTACAATTTGACAGCGACAACTTTTCAACTTTTATAACTTTTATAAGTTTCATTATTTCAAACATCAAAATATTAACTTAAAATAATTATCACTTTTATAGACATAACCCCCCCCCCCCCACCCTGCAAACCCATCGGATTAAAGCACAATGCAATGCAATTTTTTCACAGAATACAAAGAATAGTAGGAAATGAAAATAGTTGATTCACTTGCAGCACACCAACTTTCTGTACCCAATTTGCCAGAATCTGTCAGTCTTGGTCAGATTCATTGTCTTTACATTTACTTACAAATGATATATTTTTAATCTAAATCAACTCATGAAGGTGAATTTTAGGGACAGTAGGTATTGGATGTGTTTTATTATTGTTTTACATATGTTTGTATTTTGTTAATGCCCTCTCAAGAATTTTTCACTCATATGGAGACACCACCACTTCCCGGTGGAGAGCCGCAAATTTTGTCCTATACTCGGCACTTATGGCCATTGAGCAGTGAGGGATCTTTTTCGTGCCAGCACTTACTGTGACACAGGACCTCGGTTTATACGGTCTCATCTGAAGGACCGGTCTCCATGTCCCACAGTGGGATTCGAACCTGCGACGTAGGGATCAACTCCTTACTTCGCTACTCTAGAGCAGACGCTTTAACCACTGCGCCACGCGGGCGACTTTTACATATGTACAACTTGATAAATACACTCAGACTACAAATATATAGTAAAATATATGGCAAGATAGTATTTTGGGGAGAAAAATTTCTTGGGGGTCCCTATAGTGCAGAGCTTGTACCATGAAAAGTAATGCGTCAAGATATAATTTTTTTTAGCTAATTCTTTTTCTAAGATGTTATTTTGTAAAAAGAAACCACTTTTTTGAAGATTGAGTCCATAAAAATATTTAAAAATGACCCAGATTGAACTATGCAGCATATTTTGTCGTGTCAATATTTTGATGCAATAGCCCTACAAAGTGCACATATTTATATTAATTTACGCCAAACAATGATTAAATATGGTTTAATGACATGTTTCTAATCTATTTGGAGTATTAAAGTTTGACTGTCTAGATTTTAATTCTTATTTATTGACATATTTGAAGACAGGTAAATTTTCTTGAGTTTCAGTATTTGGCGTTTCGGGGAATATACTGCGGAGAGGTAATAGCAGAAAAATAAGCATGTTGACATATAATTAGGGCCCCGCTCTGCGGGCGCCCTATAGTGATCAGTCTGTCCATCCGTCCGTCCGAGATCTCTTGTCCGAAGCATATCCTCTCTCTCCTTGGCCCAATCTGGCTCATACTTCACCCACAGAGTGTCTTAAGGTTAAGGGTGTGCAGTGACCTTGAACCATGTTTCTAGGTCTAAGGTCAACGTCATAGCAGAATTATATGAAAAATCCTTGTCCGGAGCATATCTTCTCTCCTCTTGGTCCAATGTGACTCATACTTCACTCACTGAGTGCCACTGGTCAATAGATGTGCAGTGACCTTGAACAAAGTTTCTAGGTCAAGAGTCAAGGTCAAAAATAGCCTCTCTGTTTAAATTCTTGTTCGGAGCATATTTTCTCTCTCCTTGGCCCAATCTGGCTCTGGTTCACTCACATAGTGTCTTTGGGTAAAGGGTGTGCAGTGACCTTGAACCATGTTTCTAGGTCTAAGGTCAAGGTCAAAGCAGAATTATATGAAAAATCCTTGTTTGGAGCATATCTTCTCTCCTCTTGGTCCAGTGTGGCTCATACTTCACTCACTGAGTGCCACTGGTCAATGGATATGCAGTGACCTTAAACGAAGTTTCTAGGTCAAGGGTCAAGGTCAAAAATAGCCTCTCTGTTTAAATTCTTGTCCGGAGCATATTTTCTCTCTCCTTGGCCCAATCTGGCTCATAGTTCACCCACAGAGTGTCTTTGGGTAAAGGATGTGCAGTGACCTTGAACCATGTTTCTAGGTCTAAGGTCAAGGTCATAGCAGAATTATATGAAAAATTCTCGTTTGGAGCATATCTTCTCTCCTTTTGGTCCAATGTGGCTCATACTTCACTCACAGATAGCCACTGGTCAATGGATGTGCAGTGACCTTGAACGAAGTTTCTAGGTCAAGAGTCAAGGTCAAAAATAGCCTCTTTGTTTAAAATCTTTGTTCGGTGCATGGTTTCTTTCTCTTAAGTCCAGTCAACCTCAAACTTTACCAATTGACTTAGGATAGGGAACATTTGTGATTTTCCTTCCATATTTTGATAGAGGATATGCAACAGTTTTCTTAGAGGATATTCAACATTTGTGATTTTTGTGCCGCTTTTTGATAGAGGTTATGGAGCACTCGTGATTTTCATGCCATTTTTTATTATAACAAGGATGACATAGAAGCCCTTTAGACTCAAACAACACATCCCTTAATATTACACAAGTGTTCCTCTTCAAAATAAACCCTTTTCAGCTACCTTACATTTTCATGTTCATTGCTGAAAGCGGGGCCCTTTGAGATGGCCACCATCTCAATGATATCTAGTTTTTCTTATGTCTATCCATTGCTGGGATGTATATCTATGTTATAAAAGCAATTTTTTATAAGTTTGAGCCCATTTAGTGCCGAGTATAGAACTACCTTCAGGTATTCCATCCCTAATAGCAACAGATTAAATGAAATTGAATACATAACAGATGTGTAGGTGTTGAATACTCAGATGTTTAGAAATAATTCCCATTTATTACTAATAGCATGTAAGGATGGGATGTGTCCTAATTTAATATGACCTTGAATTTTGGTAAAAGTTATCTCCCTCTTTTTTTATTAATAAAAAAATCAATTTTAAAAAACATATCTGATTGAAGAAAAATCGTTTTTACAATTGTCATTCTATTTCTAATGTTTTAATGCATCTTTTCACCACAGTATTTATTGATATTCTTGTTATTTGAATTTTTATTTTAAAAAATTGCTTGTCCCCATGGACTTCAATACAATCTTTGTCAATAAATTACTGCTTAGTTACGGAGTAATTACAATTTTTAAACTTTCCCTTGGTAAATCCCTTTCTACTGTAAAATGCTTTTACATAAGAAATATCTTTAAAATCTTCTTCTCAAGAACAACTAAGCCATTATTAGTCATATTTATACAGAAGCAAACCTAGGTATTGTAGAATCAAGTTTTATTAAATCATGGGGGCATAACAGGGTCAAAGTTTTGCATAAGAAAATATAGGAATCATCTTGAAAAAATCTTCTGCTCAAGAACAGCAAAGCCATGACAGTTGCTACCTATTTTTCATCCATTTAGGTCAGTCGAGGCAAGAGCTCGATCTCATGACCTTCCGATCACGGAGCAAGCACTCTACATATATTATTATAGGTATCCTCAGGTAGTGTAGATTCAAATTTGTTGGGTGGTGGGGGGGGGGGGGGGGGGGGGGCAACAATGAGAGATCAGAGTTTTACATAGGGAAACATAAGGTTGATTGATTGTATGTTGTTTTATGTCCCGATTGAGAATTTTTCACTCATATAGAGACTTCACCATATATCGGTGAAGGACTTCAAATTTAGACCTTTACAGGGCCATTGAGCAGTGAGGGATCTTTATTGTGTCTTTGCCTGCCGTGACACGGGGCCTCGAGTTTTAAGGTCTCATCCAGAGGACCCACTTTCACTTCAAAGTGCCGAGCGCTTGGGGAAGGAATAGTTGCTACCTATTTTTTATTGACTTATGTCAGTCGCAGACGGGGCTCGATCTCACGACCTTCCGATCATGGAGCAAGTGCTCTACAGAATGAGCTACCGTGATGGTGGAAAACATAGGAAAAAAAATCTAAAATTTTTCTGTTTAAGTACAGCAAAGCCATGATTAGTAATATTGATATGGAAGTATCCTGAAGTAGTGTTAATTACAGTCTCCCCCTCCCCCCCCCCCCTCATTCAATACTGAACTACTGAACTGATTTCTGCTTCTTCCTAGCCAATAAGCTCAGGTGAGCAATGTGGCCCATGGGCCTCTCGTTTCAATATTATGAGATCAATACGTAAAAATAACCAGAGAGGGAATATACATGTATGTATGGTTACCACTGGAACAGCAGAGTATACATATTTTCTGTGGATAATTAAATTGATATTCTGTTATGTGAAATCTATCTGACTGGTTCATTACTTACTGGGGTATTAACCTAATTCAAGTTGCACAAAAAACTATTCATTTACATTTAAAGTTTTGGAGTATAATCAACAGAAATTTTTGTTTTCCTTTTCACAGAAAGTGGTTACTTCATCGATTTGTAGACAACTGTTTAGCCTCTAGTGCAGGTAGTAATACAAGTACAGGAAGCATTGTTTGTGATAAATTTGTAAATATGGATGCAATTGATCTAAATATGGATGCCTCACTCAATGTACCATGTGAAGACAATGGCCCTGACATTATAAATCAACCTGATTACAGTGAGCAAATTAGAATGGAACTGAGTATATGCAAAAGTGCTGCAGATAATCATCCTTGTAATTACAATGCTTGGAGTCATGGAATCTGGGTGTTGCAGCATTGTTTTAATTCTTCTTTACAGGTAAGAACAGTTACTGATTTGGGAAATTAGAAAAGTGTTTAATCTTGGTCACTAGCACAAGAAGTATTTATTTTCAGCTAAATTATGTTTGGAATAATGCAATGCACTATGAAGCAGAACAGTTTTGTCTAAATGGATGTCAGGATAGTGGGGGATAGTGTGTTTGCTTGTAGAGTGCATCTACAGTGAGAAGAATTGGTATACAAGTAATAACTTCAGTATGGTATGTCCATTTTGACACAATGAAATCATTCCTGGGATTGTTTGGGGACAGTTACTTCCTTTCTTAGCTCATTCAGAAGTCAAATCTAGGTTTTCAACTTTGATTTCTATTGATTTGTAAGATACAGTGTATATGTAAGGGCAGTAAAGCTCTTTGTAAGACATTTTTCATGCCCCAAAAAAAAACAACAACAAAAAGAACTTGCAATTAGTGTTGAACTGGACAGTTTTTGTTAGGTCAATTCAGACATTTTGCAGTCTGTGTTCCATGCTATAGTCTGAATGAAACAAAATATAATTTGTGAGAGATGTCTTATTATTCATTTATAGGGCTGGGTATTGGCTAGAGATTTTGTATTGTGATATTTTAATTGTATTGCAATATTTTCAACAAAAATTTAAATGGTATATTCTTATTATATTAACTTCCTTTTACATGTAGAATGTACATATAACTATGATAACTATGATATAACTATGATAAACTAGTTCTAATTGTAACGGGGACCGTTACAGATGTTCCCCAAAAGCTCCCTTACTCCACTTTGGGCCCTATTCCCTACAAGCTTCATTAAATTAGGCAATTCTTTTGTTTAATAAATCTACACTTTATTTTCAAAAGTATTTCATCATAAAACAATGCCAGTATAGTCCTTTGAGTATTAGCCAATCAGATTTCAGCACACATACTTGCCCATGTTTTCTAGATATTCTCATGTCTTCCTCGTAAAGAGACTCACAATAAATACTTATGTGTAAAATCTCAAAGATTTTAATTGAAAACTATGAGAGATACAGTCATATGAGTATTAGCAAATCAGAATCCAGCACACCTTCATGCATTTTCTATGTATCATATTGTAGAACTTCCTAATGTGTGACTATGTTTAAAGAATTATATTGAAAACTAAAGCCTATAAAGTATTAGCCAATCAGATTTCAGCACATGTGTATGCATGTCCTTGCATTCAATTTTGATAATGCTGATATGAACCAACCCATTATACATATTTATATTCTAAACTTCATCCTGTTTTGTTGAAAACTAAGGAAGTTATTTTTATGAAAGTAAAAAAAAAATATATCAGTTGTCTATTTTATTGTGTAATCAGTAAAATCACTGAGTATAAATGTTGTGGAGAGGTCTGTGGAAGAGCCTCCTTTCGCTATAAAAACTGACATTTATCAGCTGCTTTAAGCAGTACACACTGTTTCAACTGCAGAATGATATGGTCTAAATAAGTATTAGCATCTGAAGTCAAATATTCAGTTCAATCATGCAGGTTTGATATGTGTTTCTGATCTGATAATTTCTTTATGACTCATAATTTATTGGAGAATAATGTCCACAGCACTTCTTTGATGTCAACAATAACTGTAGTAGAATGGTATGTAAATCACATAGACTTGTCACATAGGCATATCTCATGAAGCATGCTAGCGCTTCCTGAAAAATATGCCTACATGCAAGTCTTTGTTATTTACACACCAATAATTCACACAAAACAAAAAAACATTCTTTATACTGTTACAGAGTAATTTTTGCCCCATGTGTTTTTGGCCCATTCACACTTTCAAACAATTTTGCCTCATTTTAAATTCACCCAGATAGAGATGTGTTAAAGAGATAAGGTTGTTTACTTTGACTTTGCCCCGTTTTAAATTTGCCCATATGGGAGGGGGTGAAAGGGGCGAAAATAAAATGGGGACAAAAAATTCCCTGTATACAGTATTTACATTTTACATGTTTAAAAGCAGCAAAAATACACTCAATTTTTAGCTCACCTGAGCCAAAGGCTCAAGTGAGCTTTTCTGATCACATTTTGTCTGTCGTCTGTCTGTCCGTCCATCTGTAAACTTTTCACATTTTCGACTTTTTCACCAGAACCACTGGGCCATTTTCAACCAAACTTAACACCAAGCATTCTTAGGTAAAGGGGATTGATCAAGTTTGTTCAAATGAAGGGCCACACCCTCTTTCAAGGGGAGATAATTAAGAATTAGTGAAAATTTGGTGGTATCTTTTAAAAATCTTCTTCTCAAGAACCACTGGGCTGTAAAAGTTGAAACTTATGTGAGACCTTCATTACATAGTGTAGATTCAAGTTTGTTCAAATCACGACCCCCTGGGGTATGGTGGGGCCACAATGGGGGATCAAAGTTTTAAAAAGGAATATATAGGAATAAATCTTTAAAAATCTTCTCCTCAAGAACAACTAAGCCAGAATTAGTCATATTGATATGGAATCATCCTCAGGTAGTGTAGATTCAAGTTTGTTCAAATCATGACCCCCAGGGGTAGGGTGGGGCTATAATGGGGGATCAAAGTTTCACATAGGAATATATAGAAAAAAATCTTTAAAATACTTCTCAAGAACAACAAAGCCACAATTAGTCATATTGATATGGAATCATCCTCAGGTAGTGCAGATTCAAATCATGACCACCAGGGGTAGGGTTGGGCCACAATGGGGGATCAAAGTTTTACATAGGAATATATAGAAAAAAAATCCTTAAAAATCTTCTTCTCAAGAACAACAAAGCCACAATAAGTCATATTGATATGAAATCATCCTCAGGTAGTGTAAATTCAAGTTTGTACAAATCATGACCCCCAGGGGTAGGGTGGGGCCACAATGGGGGATCAAAGTTTTACATAGAAATATACAGAAAAAAATCTTGAAAAATCTTCTTCTCAAGAACAGCATACCCTTGATAAGTCATTTTGATATGGAAGCATCCTCAGGTAGTGTTGATTCAAGTTTGTTTAAATCATGACCCCTGGGGGTAGGGTGGGGCCACAATGGGGGATCATAGTTTTACATAGGAATATATAAGGGAAAAAACTGGAAAAATCTTTTTCTCAGGAACAGCAAGCCATGTTTTGTCATATTGATATGGAAGCATCTTCAGGTATTGTAGATTCAAGTTTGTTCAAATCATAACCCCCAGAGGTAGGGTGGGGCCACAGTGTGGGATCAAATGATCAAATTTTTACATAGAAATATATAGGAAAAAATCTTTTCAACAACAGAAAAGCCATATTTAGTCGTATTGATATGGAAGCATCTTCAGGTAGTGTAGATTCAAGTTTGTTTAAATGGGGGGGGGGGGGGGGGGGAGGAGGGGATTTTTAACAAGGGAATATATATAGGAAAAAAATCTTTAAAAATCTTTTGCTCAAGAACAGCAAAGCCATTTGTTATATTGATATGGAATCATCCTCAGGTAGTTCAAAATCCAAGCCCCCCCCCCCCCCCCTTTAAACTTTTCAATACTGAAGTGATTTGTGCTTTTTCCTATCCAATGTGCTCAGTTGAGCGATGTGGCTCATGGGCCTCTTGTTAGCTCTTCTGAGCCAAAGGCTCAAAGAGCTAATACTATGGCTATTTGTGCGATGTGCATAAACTTTTTAGCTCACCTGAGCCAAAGGCTCAAGTGAGCTTTTCTGATCAAAATTTGTCCGTTGTTTGTCTTCGTTGTTGTCGTTGTTGTTGTAAACTTTTCACATTTTCATCTTCTTCTCAAGAACCACTGGGCCAATTTCAACCAAACTTGCCACAAAGTATCCTTGGGTAAAGGGGATTCAAGTTTGTTCATATGAAGGGCCACGCCATCTTCCAAGGGAAGATAATTAAGAATTCATGAAAAATTAATGGCATCATTAAAAAATCTTCTTCTCAAGAACCACTGTGCTTGAAAATATGAAACTTATGTGGAAGCATCCTCAGGTAGTGTAGATTCAAGTTTGTTCAAATCATGACCCCTGGGGGTCGGGTGGGGCCAAAATGGGTGATCAAAGTTTTACATAGGAATATATAGGAAAAATCTTTAAAAATCTTCTTCTCAAGAACAGCAAAGCCATGATTGGTCGTATTTATATGGTAGCATCCTCAGATAGTGTAGATTCAAGTTTGTTCAAATCATGACCCCCGGGGGTCGGGTGGGGCCAAAATGGGCGATCAAAATTTTACATAGGAATATATAGGAAAAATCTTTAAAAATCTTCTTCTCAAGAACAGCAAAGCCATGATTGGTCATATTTATATGGTAGCATCCTCAGATAGTGTAGATTCAAGTTTGTTCAAATCATGACCCCCGGGGGTCGGGTGGGGCCAAAATGGGCGATCAAAATTTTACATAGGAATATATAGGAAAAATCTTTAAAAATCTTCTTCTCAAGAACAGCAAAGCCATGATTGGTCATATTTATATGGTAGCATCCTCAGATAGTGTAGATTCAAGTTTGTTCAAATCATGACCCCCGGGGGTCGGGTGGGGCCACAATGGGCGATCAAAGTTTTACATAGGAATATATAGGAAAAATCTTTAAAAATCTTCTTCTCAAGAACAGCAAAGCCATGATTGGTCATATTTACATGGAAGCATCCTCAGATAATGTAGATTCAAATTTGTTCAATTCATGACCCCCCTCCCCCCTCCCCCCCCCCCCCTCCCCCCCCCCCCCCCCCCCCCCCCCGAACCACTTTTTTATTTAAACTTTTCAACCTTTCTAGACTGAACTGATTTCTGCTTTTTCCTAGCCATAGTGCTCAGGTGAGCGATGTGGCCCCTGGGCCTCTTGTTAGAATATGGGCCATAACTCAAGAACCCCTTGGCCAATTATTGTCAAATTTGTCACAGGGTATCCTTGGCCCAAGGGCTCCCGTTTATACTAAAACAAGGGTTGTGACCCTTAAACAAGAGGGAGATAATTAGGTAAGTAAAACCAAAAGTACTGGTTGCTAAAAAATCTTCTTCTGAAGAACAACAGGGCAGATTATCACCAAACTTACACAAAAGGATGAGGATATGTTGAAGATTAAAAATTGTTCAAGGTATCACCCTGGGACAAAGGGCATGGTCTCAAAGTCACTTCAAAGTTGACAAAAAATCATGTTTTATTAAAATGTTGATATTTTGCTTACTGTAAGGACTAAGATCATCAAATCTTGTCAGTTGATGCATCTAAGGACCTCATATAATGTAGACTTAAAAGTAGGTCACGGTAACTTACTTTATAAATTTTGCAGTCATTCTTTTTCAAAATGATTTAGAGGCATATTTTGAACAATTTAAGGCCTATGATCATCAAACTTTGTCAGTTAATGCATCTTGGGTCCTCGGAATACGTCAACTAAAAAATAGGTCACCTTGACGTACTTTTTGAATTTAATGGCTAATCTTTTTGAAAACATTTAAGGTCATTAATTCAAACACTGAGAGGTTTAGAAACATTAAATCTTGTAAGATGATGCATCTTGGGGCCTTAAAACATATTTATTAAAAAGTAGGTCACAGTGACCTACTTTAACTTTGCAAATATTCGCGTTCAAAGCATTTTAGGTGTATATTTTGGACATTTTAAGGCTTATGATCATAAAACTTTGTAAGTTGCTGCATCTTGGGTCCTCGAAAATCGTCAACTGAAAACTAGGTCATTGCGACCAATTTTTGAAATTTTATGGCTATCTTGAAATATTTTGGGTACTAATTGACTTTGAATGATCAAACTTTGTCAGTTGATGTGTCTTGAGTCCTCAAAGTAGGTCGACTTAAAAGTAGGTGACTGTGACCTACTTTTCAATTTTTATGGCTATAATTAAATATTTTGGGTACTAATTGGCTTAGAATCATCACACTTTGTCAGTTGATGCATCTTTGGTCCTAGGAGTACAAGAACTGAAAAGTAGGTCACCATGACCTACTTTTGAAATTTTATGGCTATATTTAAATAACTTTGGGTACTATTTGGTAGAATCATCAACCTTTGTCAGTTGATGCATCTTGGGTCCTCGGAATAAGTTGACTGAAAAGTAGGTCACCATGACCAACTTTTCATTATATTTTTAATGTTGAATAACAAAAACCCTCCATTTCTCCCAATAAATTAAAAAATAAATATTAATAAAACAAAGCAATTAAATATAAGAGCAAACAATAATTAAATGTGCACCGACATTCATTTGTATAATAACCCTGAGTATTTCATATCTCAAGTAAAAATTTGACTCTGAAATTTCAATTTTTAAAAAGAAATTTTTCACTCATATAAAGACGTCACCATATACCGGTGAAGGGCTTCAAATTTTGACCTTAACTCGACACTCAGGGCCACTATAAGCCCTACCTGGACCAAACTTGCATGGATGATGCATCTAGGGATGGACACTACCACACTTGCTTCAGATGCTGGATCTGACCTAGATTTTCCACATGAGTGACCAGGTTAAAGTTTTTGGAGCAGGTCCATTCCCAAGTAACTATATGCCCTACCTAGACCAAACTTGCATGAATGATGCATCTAGGGATGGACACTACCACACTTGCTTCGGATGCTGGATCTGACCTAGATTTTCCAGATGAGTGACCAGGTTAAAGTTTTTGGAGCAGGTCCATTCCCAAGTAACTATAAGCCCTACCTAGACCAAACTTTCCTGGATGATGCATCTAGGGATGGACACTACCACACTTGCTTCGGATGCTGGATCTGACCTAGATTTTCCAGATGAGTGACCAGGTTAAAGTTTTTGGAGCAGGTCCATTCCCAAGTAACTATAAGCCCTACCTGGACCAAACTTGCATGAATGATGCATCTAGGGATGGACACTACCACACTTGCTTCGGATGCTGGATCTGACCTAGATTTTCCAGATGAGTGACCAGGTTAATGTTTTTGGAGCAGGTCTGTTCCCAAGTAACTATATGCCCTACCCGGACCAAACTTGCATGGATGATGCATCTAGAGATGGACACTACTGCACTTGATTGGGATGCTGGATCTGACCTAGATTTTCCACATGAGTGACCAGGTTAAAGATTTTGGAGCAGGTCCATTCTTAAGTAACTATAAGCCCTACTTGGACCAAACTTTCATGGATAATGCATCTAGGGATGTACAGTAACTCACCAGCTTCGGATGCTGGATCTAACCTAGATTTTCCACATGAGTGAATTTTAGCCATATTTTAACCAAATTAGCATTGATGATGTATATAGGGATGGATACTTCCAGACTTGCTTTGGATTCTGAATCTGACCTACATTTTCCAGATGAGTGACCAAGATATTTTTTGGAGTAGCTATATAATATTATGGCCTGTTATGATAAACTTTGTATAGATGGTGCATCTAAGGATGAAAACTTCCAGACTTGCTTTGGATTTTGGAACTGACCAAAATTTTCTCGAGTAGTAAACAGGTTAAAAGTTTTTGAGCAGGTCTTTTTCCAAGTAACTATAAGTCCTACTTTAATGAAACTTGCATGGATATTGATCTTTGGATGTACACTAACTGGAAAAAAAATATGATGTGAAATTTGCATTACTTATAGATAACATTCGTCGAGGTTAGCTTCGTAATCTTTGATTACCTATGTTTATTAACATCTCTGTAGCCACATTGTGCAACCATTTTAGTGTAAGTCTCCTTTTGTATTTCTATGTGTGAGTAAAATGACATTCAAATCAATTTCTAAGTTGGTATAGTAGAAAAACACAGCAAATGTAAATAGATGAATATATTCTACATTTAAATGCTTCTCTCCATGACATACTGGTAGAATGCTATTCAAAGGCAGAGGCATGAATCTTCTTTGAAGAAGGGAGTTTTATATCTTTTAATAAAAAAATACCTTCAAACATGCAGCCAATGGTAGGGGGAGAAGGAACCAATTAAACAGCATACAAATTCAGAGAATTGTGGTCCCCAACTTTTGGGGTCTTAATGGTTGAGATGCAATTATTTATGGCATACTGTAACTGTCTGTTTGTCCTGTTTTGTCTGTTCATAAACAAAAAAAAAATTAAATTTTTGAAGTTCAGTGCCAAGATAAAAGTTTCTGAAAACCACATCAAACATCAAGGACATGAGGTCAAATATCATAAAGCATTCCAAAAGGTCTTGTTACAGTTAATGCACATTTGAAAAATATGAATGCCCTGTCTCTTCTGATGCTAAAGTTAAGCCAAGTTATAACTTTTGAATAGTAGGTCAAACTTCTAGATCAAGGTTATGAACTGGTAAAGTGAATATTGGATGTGTAGCATTTAAGAAGAAAATTCATACAAATACAAAAGAAGACATCATAAAATCTTAAATCTCTTAAAAATGTTTCAATTAGGAAGAGTTTTGGTCAGGTAGCTGGGATTCCTTCAGTGAGGTGATATGTCTTGATTGTTTGGAAGTTTTCTCTTTTGCAGGTTGTGTGTAATGAGCTTCATTCAACAGAAGAATGGATAAAGAAACACATCTCAGATCATAGTGGATTACATTACAGACAGTTCTTGTTGAAATGTTTATCCCAACAGGCAGAAAAACTGTCTGAACAATACTTACTGAATTACAGGAACATTATTCAAAAAGAAATGCACCTGATCACAGATCTAATTAAATGTTATCCAGGTCATGAAGCACTCTGGTACCATAGGTAATGTAGAATTTTATAGTTCAATATTTTAGTTTTTTCTTGTAAACTAGGTTGTCAGAAGTAAAGTGGTTAACTGCATGAATTTTACTGAATGATTTTATTCAGTTTCAAAATTCAGTAAATGTCAAAAAAACCATCCTCCTTTATATTGAGGATATACTAGACATATCAATTTTGCTTGTTTTGTGATAGAGATTTTCTGTTGCAAATTTACTTATGATGTTACTATTATCCTAAAAGTGTCAATGATTTAATGTTAGGTCAAAGATCCATTGTAGGTCAAGGTCATTTATTTTTTGCCCCTAGAGATGTTTTGCAACTACATAGCTAAAGCTATAAAATTCAAAAAAAAAAGTTGAGGCCAATAGTCAAGAAAAAGTAAAACTACTGACTGAATTGCCTGTTTAAATGCTTAGTTTATATTGTTTCTGTACTTTTCAGGAGATACGTATTTCAAGCATTATGTGAGTCATGTGACAGAGCTTTTAAGGAACCCAATCAACTAAGTGACCAGTCACTGGAAAATCAACAGAAGAAAACCAAATTCGAAAATGAGAGACAAGTATTGCTGATAAATGAAGTGGATACAGTGTCCACTATTGACCTTATTGGTCGAGACAAATACAACCAACAACTAGCCCAGAAATACTTGGACTGGATTCAGACCTACTGCAGGAGATGATCATTTACTTTCTTATTACTGTTTTGTCTTAAAAATTGTGAAGTACAATGATCTAAAACTATGAAATTAAGCAGCATTTTGTCATTTTTTAAAGCTCCACTGGACCCTCAGTCAGTAAACAGTATTCAAAATGCTATTCCTTCCACAGTTTAAGTCAAATTTTAATAAGATTCTGTATACAAGGAAACTGCACTAAGGTACGAAATTCGGGATTTTAAGTTCAACAAACTTGTTTCCATGGTTACTAGAAATAGAAATATCTGTGGAATTCTCTTGTAAATTGCTACTTCTCCTGAAGTTTAGTCTGATTTCAACATGACTTGGTACACAAATGATCCTTGCATAGCACAGTGATTAGAATGATTGTTTACATTCTAGAGTCTCATTTTAAGGAGTTGATCCTTTCGAGGCAGTTTTGAATCCAGCTGTGGGACATGGAGACTATTCCTTTGGATGAGACTGTATAAACCAAGGTCCTGTGCTAGGACAAAGCTCAATAGCTGGTCTAATTTGCAGCCTTCCACAATTGATGGTGTCCCCATGTGAATGAAATATTTTGAAGGGACATAAAGCAAAACAAGTAGACAACACTAAGATTTACAAATCTGTATATAGTAGTTTTGCCAGGTTACTAAAAAATTTAAAATATCTGGAAAATTCTTATGATACAGTTTTGGTCCAATTTTAATAGTACCTGGTACACCATTAGACTACACTATGATATATTCTATTTATTCATGTAACTATGTTACCATTATCACAAAAAGAAAAAAACAAATCTGAAATACTTTCAAAATATACCCACCCACAGATTTTGTCTAATTTCAGGAAGACTTGATACACAAGTATACTCCACGAAGATGTATTATTCTTTTTGATCCGAATGCTGGAGCGAGTTTTTCTGATTGATAAAGTGTCTAGCATCTATCTGCCATGTTTTGTCTGCTAACTTTTCACATTTTTGATTTCTGGGCCAATTTCAACCAAACTTGCCACAAAGCATTTTTGGGTGAAGGGGATTCAAGTTTGTTCACACAAAGGGCCAGATCCTCTTTCACAGGGAGATAATTAAGAATTAGTGTAATGGCATCTTTTAAGAATCTTCTCAAGAATCACTGAGCCAGAAAAGATGAAACTTAGATAAAAGCTTCATTACATAGTGTAGATTCAGGTTTGTTCAAATCATGACCCAGGGAGTAGGATGGGCCACAAAAGGGCATCAAATTTTTACATAGGAATATATAGGAATTTTTTTTTTACAAATCTAGAACACCAAATCCATGATTAGTCATATTAATATAGAAGCATCCTCAGGTAGTATAGATTCAAGTTTGTTCCAATCTTGGCATCAAAGTTTTGCATAGGAGTACATAGGAAATATCTCTAAAAATCTTTCTCAAGAACAACAAAGCCATGATCAGTCATATTTATACAGAAACATCATAAGATTGTATGGATTTACATTTGTTGAAACCATAACCTCAAGGGGCAGGGAGGGACCACAATAGGGGATCAAAGTTTTACATGGAATATATAGAAAATATCTTTTTCAGAACAGCAGAAGATTTAAATATCTTCTCAAGAACAGCAAAGCCATGACTAGTCATGTTAATACAGAAGCATTCTCAGATAGTGTAGATTAAAGTTTGTTCAAAACTTGACTCCCTGGGTTAGGGAATGCCACAATAGAAGATCGAACTTTTACATAGGAATATATACATATATTTTATGGATATAACAAACTCGAATATAGCAAATTTATGGTTATAGCGAACTGATTTTGTGTCCCCTTGACATTAAAAATAACACAATTTGCATCTTTTATAGTGAATTTTCAAAGATTTCAAATTTTAAAATATTGAACTGACATAATTTTTTTTTTTGATTTATTTTTATATTACATGTATTTATATTTGAAACTCAAATCATCAAAAGACTTTTGAACTTCAAGGTAAATTTTGTATTTTATACTTCCCTAAATACTTTTGGTAGTCAAACTTGAAGGAAAATAATCTATATTACGAATTCGCTATAAATACTTTAAGGAATATGTTATGCAGATATAACGAATTACAGACATAGCAAAATAAATTCGTCGGTTTCTAGAACTTTGCTATTACTGAGTTTTACTGTAGGAAGAAATCCTTAAAAATCTTCACAAAAACAGCAAAACTATGAGTACTTAGTCATATTAATGTGGAAGCATCCTGAGGTTTGTAGATACAAATTTGTTCAAATCATCATCCCCTAGGAAGTAGGGTGGGATCACTTATATATTTAAACTTTTCAATACTGAACTGATTTCTGCTTTTCTTTAGCAGTAGCAAAAGTGCTCAGATGAGTGATGTGGGGCTAGCAACAAATGAAAATGGGCCATGGGCCTCTTGTTGATTTTACATGAGAATAGAATTGTCATGAATACAGAAAATTCTGAGAAATTCTTTCAAATGCTACTCCTTTGCCATGAGCTCGGCACTTTGAAGTGAAAGTTGCAGGTCCTTCAGATGAGACCTTAAAAACCGAGACCCCATGTCATGGCAGGCGTTGGCACGATAAAGATCCCTCACTGCTCAATGGCCCTGAGTGTCGAGTTAAGGTCAAAATTTGAAGCCCTTCACCGGTATATGGTGACGTCTTTATATGAGTGAAAAATTTCTTTTTAAAAATTGAAATTTCAGAGTCAATTTTTTACTTGAGATATGAAATACTCAGGGTTATTATACAAATGAATGTCGGTGCACATTTAATTATTGTTTGCTCTTATATTTAATTGCTTTGTTTTATATTTATTTTTTAATTTATTGGGAGAAATGGAGGGTTTTTGTTATTCAACATTAAAAATATAATGAGAATTGAAGTGCTGGCACTTTGAACCTTTTTGTTATTGTTTAGTGAACCTACATTATATATATATATATATACATATATATATATATATATATATATATATATATATATATATATATATATATATGTGTGTGTGTGTGTGTGAGGGAGGGTGTGTGTGTGTGTGTGTTACACTTCTTTGGCTCGTGCCTTCAGATTATATTCTGTAACATTGCGCAAAAATGAACATAAACTCGATTAATTAAAGATTTCATTAATTATTTAAAGATATTAGCTTGATTATTGTGCGCAATAATTGAAAATTTGCACATAAAGGCTATCATCAGTTGAATGGATGCTAGCATCAAAGCAGATATTGCTCCCGTCAGTTTGTTTTGATGCGAGTAACATTTCAGTTGAAATAATTTCATTGTAGTCAAGGTATACAATTATAGAGTCAGTTGAACGACATAGTTTCCAATGATTGAGGTTGTTACTCATTGATGGTAATTTTGCAAATTTATACTTGTAAATGCATAAGGCGCTGGCTAGCGGAAGAGGCATTGTACGTAGTGTAGCGCCGTCGAGCGGTAAACGGCTTTATTTATTCCCTCATATAGTAAATAGTAAAATGAAAATATTTCCTCTGTTTTAAAATCTCCTCAATGTTTGAAATAAAACGATCTGGTAAGTTTTATATACAATTTATTTACAGGGACAGGTGCCCGTAAAACACATCACAATCATAAAAAGACAATAATCCAGATCTTTTGAACGTTCTATATACACATAAATCCCAACGACACAGTGACCAACTGACCCAAAATTCCCCCCATATATATACCCGCTGGCTGATGCTCATAAGGAGCATCACCTTCAAAACAAAAAGAATTGCGTAACAAACTAACCGATCCTCGCGAGGAGCATCGAGTAGCTATATCTAAAAATAGTTATACAAAACAATAATTGACCGTTAGCATAAATAAATATTAAGTAAACAACAATTTTTTAAATTAACCTAAATCACTACAGTAGCCATAACTACAAACGTATACATATGCAATAGATTAGGCCGTGGATATCGGCCTGGGTAACTCAGTCTGTAGAGCACCTGACTAGTGATGCGGGGGTCCAGGGTTCGATTCCCGGCCCAGCCTTACATTTTCTCCTTTCCTGTTACAGATTTGGTGCTGTTGACCACCCCTGGACTTACAGGTGAAAGTCCTGCCAGGGGCAAATAAGAACTTAAGTTGTGACTTCGAGGGCCAAGACAATTTAAGGAGGGAGGAATGTAATGGTTTGGGCCATGGATATCGGCCTGGATAGATCAGTCGGTAGATCACCTGATAGTGATGCGGGAGTCCTGGGTTTGATTCCCGGTCCAGCCATACATTTTCTCCTTTCCTGTTTCACATATAAATGTGGCAGTAATCAAAATATATCTCTTCTTTTTAACTCTTTTTATATACGAGCGGTAACCGTGACCTACTTTTAAAAATTTATGGCTTTAATTAAATATTTCAGGTACTAATTGGCTTAGAATCATCAAACTTTGTCAGTTGATGCATCTTGAGTCTTCGGAGTAGGTCGATTAAAAAGTAGGTCACCGTGACCTACTTTTGAACATTTATGGCTTTAATTAAATATTTCGGGTACTAATTTGCTTAGAATCATCAAACTTTGTCATTTGATGCATCTTGGGTCTTCGGAGTACAACAACTGAAAACTAGGTCACCGTGACCTACTTTTGAAAATTAATGGCTTTAATTAAATATTTTGGGATACGACAACTGAAAAGTAGGTCATGGTGACCTACTTTTGAAATTTTATGGCTGTATTTAATATTTTCGGGTACTATTTGGCTTAGAATCGTCAAAAATTTGTCAGTTGATGCATCTTGCCCTCGGAGTACAACAACTGAAAAGTAGGTCACCATGACCTACTTTTGAAAATTTATGGCTTTAATTAAATATTTTGGGTACTTATTGGCTTAGAATCATCCAACTTTGTCAGTTGATGCATCTTGCGTTCTCGGAGTAGGTTGACTGAAAAGTAGGTCACTGTGACCTACTTTTGAAAATTTACGCCTTTAATTAAATATTTCATGTACTAATTGGCTTAGAATCATCCAACTTTGTCAGTTGATGCATCTTGGGTCCTTGCAGGGGCGTCGGCAAAGTGGCGGCAGGGGCGGCGTTCGCCGCCCCATTAATTTTGCAACAACAACAAAAAAAAGAAAAATGA